TCTTAAAAATGCCTCTCTGCAGAATGCTTATTGGCTGCAAGGAGAAAAATAGTTATTATACAGGGAAGAATCACTGTGATAAGGTGATGAATTTAATGTCACTAATGAAGGACAGGTAGACATCATGTGCCTCCTGAGGCAATACCCTAAGAAATACAATATCCTTTTATAGTATCCTAGCAGGGCATGCATTGTCAAATTTAGTCACAAGAAAATATCAGATGAACCCAAACTAAGGTACAAATGACTGGCCTATAGTCTTCAAAAATTTCAATGTCAAAGGAGACAAAGACAAGCTGAGAAACCATTCTAGATTAAAGACCAGACGCATAACAACTAAATGAATACAAAAACATAAGGGGCCGTATTGGGACAACTGACAAAATAGAATATGGCCTGTACCAACATGAACATTCCTGAATTTGATAACTGTACTGCGATTACATAAGAGAATACCCTTGTTAAGTACTCAGGGATAAAAGGACATGGTATATTCAAATACTTTCAGATGATTACAAAATGTAAATAGTTACCACTCTGTGCATATATGTACGTGTCTGTGTGTGTGTATGTCTATATAAATAGATAGAATGAATATGACAAAGTACTTTAAAATGGTGAATCTGGGCCCTACAGACAAGAGGCATTACCTAATCCATTTTCCCTTCACATAGTACTAAGGGTTCCCAGGAGTGGGAAGACCTAATACACTGGAAAGTAGCACTTACATTTGAATCCCTTTGATGATCCCTGCCTTTAGAAATTCCAATTTCTTTCAGCCAGTGTTTCCTAAACTATGGCCCAGGCAACACTAGTGTGTCACAGATGTATTTGACCCTCATTTGCATTTACAATCCACATTAAGATTTTTAATGCACTGTATGTAAAGCCATGTCTTAGGGACATCTGTTTAATTTTAACTTAATAGTTCTCAAATTTATTTAACCACAGACATCTTTTCTAGGAAGACCTATGAATTTCTATGAATTCTTGTAAGGTGCTAGTATCCTATGGAACACAGTTGGAAAATGCCAAACTCAAGTTTTTGGCATTGAATACTGTTAGGTCTTAGAAGCCACCTTTCATTCCAGTGAATTTTGTTACTGGTAATGACCCTTGCTGGGGGACTCTGAGCCTATTATTACTTGATGTCTTTGAACTTTAGAAGCTGGTATAGCAAAGACTGCACTGAGATTTTAAGGGCAGATCTGGATATAATCAGGAAACATTTAGGAAAACTGAATTAAGAAAAACATTTTAAATTAAATTTGAGCCTCTCTTCTACAATGTGGGAGTAGAATAGTGTAAAAGAGTTGGCAAGGTTGCTGTGAAACTGGTTCAACAAAGAACAAAGCAAAACCCACTTTTGGTGGTGAGGTAAATCAACATAACCTCAGAATGTCAATCTGAAGCAAGAACTATAAAATATTCACATCTTTTCTCCTAGTGGTTTCATTTCTGGAACTTTATACCAGCAAATAATCAAAGAAAAAAACATTTTGTCTAAGAATATTCAGAATAGGGGCACCTGGGTGGCTCAGTCAGTCCAGCATCCAACTCTTGGTTTGGGCTTAGGTCATGATCTCAAGGTTCATGGGTTCAAGCCCCAAGTTGACTCTGCGTTGACAGTGCGGAGCCTGCTTGGGATTCTCTCTGTCTCTCCCTTTCTCTCTGCCCCTCCCCTGCTCAAGTTCTCCCTCTCAAAATAAATTAACAACAACAACAAAAAAGAATATTCAGGATTATTGTTACCAACAAAAAATGGCATGCCCATTGAGTGTTCCTGCACTCAGTAAATGGGCCCACCAGCAGCACAGTGACCTTAGCTAGAAACCCGGCATAACACTAGACTGCTCCACCTCCTTCACTCCCCCACTCCCACACCCATTGTTTCTACTCTCCAAGCATCTCTCAAGTCTGTCCACGTTCTTTATTTCCATGTCACTACCTGAGTCGAGGTGTCATCACCCCCTACCTAGCCTGCTGCTGCCATCTCCTGAGTGACCTCCCTGCTTCTCTCTCTCCCATCCAGTCCACTCTGCATACCACATAGTGACCCTTCTAGAATGATAATCTCATGATGTCAATCTATCTGCTTGGAAACACTGAACTGCCTTTAGGGTGAAGCTCAAATTCCTCAGCATGACTTTCAACATCCTGCTTGAAGACACCCATTGACCACCTTCACCATTCCCACTGCCCAGGCACAGGGGATTTCTTGTAGTTCCCTGAACGTCGAGCTACATCTCACCTTCAGACCTTTGCACACACTCTTCCCTCTGCCTGGGCCGGCCTTCCTCACCTCTCAGTACTTTGGGAAACAGGGACCTATGTTTATTACCTTTGCTGCCTCACATCTCACTCACCATACAATCTGAGTTCTGCCTCATCATTGCCCTGTTTCCCTCGACAAAGTCATCAGAGAAAGAAAAAGATAACAAAGGAAAGGAAAGCAAAGAGAGAAATGTTAAAAATCTTGTGTAGCACTATATATCAGGCACTGTGCTAAGCACTTTATGAATATTAACTCATTTATTCTCCCAACAGCTCTATGTCCTTCACAATAGCACATGGTATTAAAAGACACAGAAAATACAGCTTTCACTTTTCCTCATGTTTTTTTCTGCCAAATTCGTCTTTGCTTTCTTTGCCAGGTTATCTTTCTTGACTTGACCAATGAACACTGAAGTTACTCAAGGCTCTGTCATGTCCTTGTCTCTTCTCACTCAATAACCCCCTCACTCCCAGGGTGATCTCATCCTTTCCCAAGGCAATTACTGCATACAAGTAGATGACTTCCTGACCCATTTTCTGAGCTCTAGTCCTGATTATCTAATTGACTAGATGGCATTTCCACCTATATGCCTCGCGGGCACCTCAGACTCGCCATTGAAACCTGAGCTCACCATCTCTCCATCACCTGTCACTCCTGCTCCCCCACTGTAACTGGCACAAACATCCACACAGTTGTTCAGACTGGAAACTCAGGAGTCATCATTGATTCTTCCCTATTCCTTCTTTTCTCCACATCCAATCAATCTCCATATCTCATCAATTAGGTCTCCTACATCGTTGTCAAACCATCTGCTTCTCTGCATCCTTACTATCATCGTCCGTGTCCAAGGTGCCATCAACTTCCGCCTTTGCTACTTTGATAGTCTCCTAACTGGTCTACCTATGTTCTTGGCACATCTTCCTTGATCCATTCTCCTACATACCAGCCAGAACAATCTTTCTAAAAAATACTGGGTTTGAATCTGGGTTATGCCATTTATAGGCACGGAGGGTATGCCTGGGCATATCCCTCAACCTTTCTAATTCTTGACTTCCTTATCTATAAATGGGAAATAAAAATATGTCACAGGGTGACAGTAATTAAGAGAGAAAATCCAGATAGAGTGACAGAATGGGACATTCTAATAAACTGTGTAAGGGCTATAAATGGTCAAACTTAAAAAGGAAATAACAATATGGAACTCTTAGTCCCAGATTGTTGCATCTCATTTGAAATAACAAGAATGAGTTCGGTCTATATTTTAAAACTTTAATAGGGAAAAATTCTGGGAAAACAATTTAACATGGGCTTTTAGGAGATGATGAATATAAAAACATCAAACTCATTGTGATGGTTAATTTTATGTGTCAACTTGGCTAGGCCATGGTGCCCAGTTTTTAAGTCAAACACCAGTCTAGATGTTGCTGTGAATGTATTTTTAACATTTACATTGGACTTGGAGTAAAGGAGATTGCCCTCAACGATGTGAATGGGCCTTATACAATCAGTAGAATGCCTAAAGAGCAAAATGCCGGGGTTTCCTGGAGATGAAGGAATTCTTCTATTTTTCTTTTCAAATTTTTATTTAAATTCTACTTAATTAACATACACTGCAATATTGGTTTCAGGAGTAGAATTCAGTGATTCATCACTTACATATAACACCCAGTGCTCATCATAACTAGTGCCCTCTTTAATGCCCATCACCCATCAAGCGCATCTCCCATCCACCTCCCTCCATCAACCTTCAGTTTGTTCTGAAATCTCTTTAAGAGTCTCTTTCAGTTGCTTGGGTGACTCAATAAGTTTAGCGTCCAACTCTTGATTTCGGCTCACGTCATGATCTCATGGTCGTGAGATTGAGCCCCACTCCAGGCTCTGTGCTGGGCATGGAGTCTGTTTAAGATTCTCTCTCTCTCTCTCTCTCTCTCTCTCTCTCTGCCCTCCCCCTGCTTGCTCACATGGGTGCATGTGCGCTCTCTTTCTCTCAAAAAATAAAAATTAAAAAAGACTTTTATGGTTTATTTCCCTCTCTTTTCTTTCCACCTCCCCCAATATGTTCATCTGTTTTGTTTCTTAAATTCCACATATAAGTGACAGAGAAGAAGGAATTCTGCCTCAAGACTATAACAGAGATCCTGCCTGAGTTTTCAGTCAGCCTGCCTACCTTATGGATTTTGGACTTGTCAGCCCCCACAACTGTGTCAGCCAATTCTCTAAAATCAATTTCTTTATTTCTTTCTATGTATGTATCCTATTGGTTCTGTTTCTCTGTAGAACCCCGATTGACACACTCACACAGGAATCCTATGACGACAAAGTATATCAGCAGCTAATAAATGACAACTCCAAGCAGCTTCAGATGAATATTTTAGAGTACAGTAGAAAAAAACCCTCATCAGCTTGATAACATAAGCTCTAAATAGATAAACATGAAAGGATAAAGAACTTCAGGAAATAAGACTTGACTTATGCCCCTAATAAGAGAAAAGCCATCTTCAGGGAGTCTTAGGCTGTTTGAGGACCTGGTAACAGTGGACCACTGTCCCACACTCATCCACTTGGTCATCTATATGAAGATGTTTGTTGAACATTTACTCCAGGACAAGTGTTCTACATATCCAGAGCAAATAACAAAACCAGGCATTCTTAGAGCTGCTGTTCCACTTGTGTCTATGAGAAGCACTGAGTCCAGAAGAGCTTTGGTGGCCATGTTCTGGCTTACCTGTAGAAAATGGTTGATGGATGCGTCATGAACTCCCAGGGCTCGCTCTACACCTGCCAATTCCTTCAATATTGGTACACATTCAAGACTTTTTTCACCTCGACTGATCTCAGTGTATTCTAAAGCCTCTTGATAGTGGGGCAGGGCTTCTTTTGATTTCTTCTGACTTTGATACATCCTAAAAAGTCATCAGAGACATCATTTTTAAATAATGAAATAGAAGACACATAGGTGGGAAAAAAGCGATCTGGTGGTTAGGATTTGGCTCTCTGACCCCTGTTGTCAGGTTCATTTCCTAGCCAGCTAAGTTTCTGTTTTTCCCAGGAGCCCGCAGGGCATAGTGGTCAGGAGGATGGACTTCAGAATAACCAAGAAGTTTCAGATCCTGGCTCTACTACCTATTAGATGTGTGAATTTCCAGTTGCTTTACCTCTTCCTCATCTCTAAGTTAAGAATAATAACAATGCCTCCTTTACTGGGCTATAATGAAGATTAAATTAGTCAACACTCATAAAAATGCCCAGAATGGTCTCTGACATATAGTAGGTGCCATGCAGGTGTTGGTTTAAAAAACATAAAATACTTAAAAAAAATTTGTTGTCAAGTTAGCTAACATACAGCGTATACAGTGTGCTCTTGGCTTCAGGAGTAGATTCCCATGATTCATCGCTTACATACAACACTCAGGGCTCATCCCAACAAGTGCCCTCCTCAATGCCCATCTCCCATTTTTCCCTCTCTCCTGTACCTCACCATCAACCCTCAGTTTGTTCTCTGCATTTAAGAGTCTCTTATGGTTTGACTCCTTCTCTGTTTGACACTATTTTTTCCCCTTCTCCTCCCCTAATGATCTTCTGTTAAGTTTCTCAAATTCCACATATAAGTGAAAACATTTGATATCTGTCTTTCTCTGAGTGACTTATTTCACTTAGCATAATACCCTCCAGTTCCATCTACATCACTGCAATGAGAGGATTTCATTCTTTCTCATTGCCAAGCAGTATTCCATTGTATATACAAATCATATTTTCTTTATCCATTCATCAGTTGACGGATATTTGGGCTCTTTCCATGACTTGGCTATAAAATCATAAAATACTTAACAAAACAATAATAACAACCATAAAGGATGCCAAGATGCTGATAACTGATCTGTTGAGAAATTACAGAAATTTTCCAGTATTGGTGAGGGTATAAAGCACTCTCTTTAACTGTTAGAAAGAATATAATTTGAGCATAAACATCTCTATATCAAAATTATATATATATATATATATATATATATATATGTATGTATATAAAAGCACACACATATTTCTGCTAATTGCACTTTTAGTAGTTTATCTTGAAGAGATACGCTGGCAGGGCAAGAAAATATGTATAAGAATGTTTACCTAAGCACTCTTTGTAATAGTGGAAAAGTACAAAGCACTTAAAATATACCAATAGGAGATCATTCAAGCAGATTACAGTAAGCATATCTATACTGCAGAATGCCACATAGCCGTTAAAGTTAACGTTTATCCATATTTACCAACATAGAAGTATAAAAGTATAAGTATAAAAGGCAGAATACAAAAAATGCTTTCTATAATATCCTATCCAGGTGAAAATGTTATATCTAATCTATATGTACATATATGCATAAAGAGATATCTAAATGGACACTAAAATGTTACCATTCAACAGTTATCTGGAAGGAGTTGGTTGTGAGTGATTTTACCTGTCTTGTTTATGCTTTCTAAATTTCCCAAATTATCTTCTATAAAATTGTATTACTGGGGTGCCTGGATGACTTAGTTCAGTGTCTGACTTAGGCTCAGGTCATGATCTTGAGGTTCATGAGTTCGAGCCCTGCGTTGGGCTCTGGGCTAATAGCTCAGAGCCTGGAGCTTGCTTCAGATTCTATGTGTGTGTCTCTCTCTCTGCCCATCCCCTGATCATGATCTGTCTGTCTGTCTCTCTTTCTCTCTCTCTCTCAAGAATAAATAAACATTTAAAAAATTTTAAATTGTGGGGTGCCTGGGTGGCTCAGTTGGTTAAGCGTCCAACTTTGGCTCAGTTCATGATCTCAACTTCAGCTCAGGTCATGATCTCACGGTTCCTGAGTTCGAGCCCTGCATCGGGCTCTGCGCTCACAGCTCGGAGCCTGGAGCCTACTTCGGGTTCTGTATCCCCCTCTCTCTCTGCCCCATCCCCACTCATGCTCTGTCTCTGTCTTAAAAGTAAATGAAACATAAAAAAAATTTAAATTGTATTACATCAGAATTTTATTGTATTTACATTTATTGTATTTACATCAGAATTATATTGTACTTACATCAGAAAAATGTTAATCAAAAAATTGTAAGTAAAGGTGGTATTGGGAAAAGATTCTTTAGCTTCTTGGGATAAAACTCTGTCACGTAAAAAATATATATCTGTCTATTTTGTTTAGCAAACACAATAGTAGACATTTAAAAACAACCTTCTCTAAAATATTTGCTAAGAAATAGACACTTTCTTCATGCATGGAAAAATTTTACATATAAGATTCATTATGAAAGGCACCAACCCTTTCTACATTACCCTTTACCCTAGCATCTTTACTACAAAAAGGCCTTATAATTCCCAGCTGCCCATGGGTAAACTGAGACATAATATGAGCACGTGACTAGGAAACCACACACACACACACACACACACACACACGCGCGCGTGCGCACACACACACACACACACACAAATATATAGGTCTTGTTTTTAACTCAGTTACTGGACATTTTGCACAACTATTTTTGCTCTGTAATAAATTTCAAAGAAATTGATTGATAGAAGATGCTGCTCAGATCTACGCTTCCGATGGCAACAGTGAAATAAAATGCTGATGGAATAGTTTATGAACTTGGATGTGTTCTACAAATGGGAAGAAGTTGAAACACAGGAGATGGTCAGGGATATGTTCCTGGACCAAGTCGGGTCCAGGTTCCAGCTTGCAGCAACTCTTAATCTTAGAAAGGAAGAGATTAGTAGGCGACCTAGTAATACTGGGCTTGTCTTCTGACTCTTACTGAACTTTGGATGTAGTGAGCAATAATTAGCATTGTAAGTATCATAGTTTGTTTTTGAAGAGAAAGCCCACTTGCATCTTTGGTGACAGAACAAGGCTTTGAAACATATGGCTGATAACAAATCACTTAGCCCAAAAATGAGATTCCTGGTAGACAACTGAAAACAGGAGGCAGCAAACTGTGGCCTGTGCACCAAATCTGCTCACTGTCTTTTTTTGTAAATAAAGTTTTATTGGCACACAGCCACACCCACTTGTTTACACATTGCCCATGGCTGCTGTAGCACTATAATGGTGGAGCTGAGTAGCTGCAATGCAGTGGATACCAAAAAGCCTGAAATATTTACTGTGTGGGCCTTTACAGAAGAAGTTTGCCAAAGTCAGGTCTAGAATCCAGAGAAAGCTACATACTTCCAAAATGACTTCAGATTTTTTCCATCTAATTTAACCTTGAGAACTCCAACAATGCCACAGATATCTGAGCAAAGGGGGAAAAAATCACCTTCTTCCTTTCTCATGTTCATAGGTGATGAAACATGTGCCAAGGAAATAAAGAATGGATTTTTTGTTTCCAAGGCTGCTGTAAAAATCATGGAAGGGTAATGAAGCAAATACAAAGTATTTGTAATACAAGATGATTTCGTCTGAGCAAAAGTTTTAAAGGAAAGCAAAATTCAAAGCTTAGTAATCAAGCTTACAAATGCAAAAAAATACATAGAAAAGTAAACAATAACAAGGCATAAGTGAACTCATACAATACAATTTTTCCTTTCCCAAGATAGAACACTAAAGAAAAGTATTTGAGAGTTTGTAATGGTGGAGAACAGGGACAATTTGCTCTTCCTTTTTATCATTAACCTACTAATCTCTTAGCCAAAAGCACAGCCTATCACCCCAGGTTAACACCACGTCACTTTTTCAGGTATCAGAAAGTGATCTTTCAAATACCAGACTCTTGGAGAAAATTTTATACAAAGAGGGACACAGGGACTGCCTAGGTGGCTCAGTCAGTTAAGTGTCTCACTTTGGCTCAGGTCATGATCTCACGGTTGGGGGTTCAAGCCCCACATTGGGCTCTGTGCTGACAGCATGGAGCCTGGAGCTTGCTTCAGATTCTGTGTCTCCCTCTCTCTCTGCCCCTCTCCTGCTCACACACACACACACACACACACACACACACACACTCTCTCTCTCTCTCTCTCTCTCTCTCTCTCAAAAATAAATAAACATTAAAAATATTAAAAAAAAAAAAAAGAGGGACTCAAGATGAGAGGCAGGATAGTCAGTTACAAGTGCTGCAGCAGGAGTAGAAAACCCCAACCATAGTTTGAGCATTGTTAGTGATGAGGCCACACAACCCTGGGCAAGAACAAAACATCTCTGAACCTTGGTTTCCTCATCTCAACACTGGTGTCCAATAGGGTTGTTGTGAGAACCCAAGAAGATGTCTAAAATGCTCTGCAAACTGAAGCAAGTTGTATAGATTGGCATTAAATGCCTATACATCGTCATACCTTTCACTCCTTCCCCTCCCAACTGGTAGTCTATACGGAACTGAGTGCCACGGCCTCGGGCCGTTCTCCTGTTGAAACAGGCTCAACTGTGGTCTCACACCTACCCGCAGAAGATTTTGGAAAGTCCAAATAATAAGGATAATTAGTCAAACTCATGTGCCAGTGTGGAAGGCATTTTCTTATCCAGCTAAGCTTTTAAAAATGTTGAGGATATTTTATTATAAGAATAATACGTATCCATCATTTAAAAAAAAGAGATAGAAAAATAAAAATAAAAACTATACAATCACGACATCCAAAGATGAATACTGTACACCTTGATACACACCTTTCCGGATGATTTTCCACACATATTTTTTAAAAGAATCGTAATGTTTTATAACCTGTTTCTTTCACTTAATCACATATCACAATGTGGCAATGAATGTTCTAGCCTCATTCTGGTGGTTGAGTGGTGTCATACACTTCACTGGCCACTTTATTTACTCATTGCTCAGCACAGACATTCCTTGGAGGACATTTGGGTGGTTTATGCCTTTTGACTGTTATGAATATTGTGTACAAGTTTTTATGTGGATGCGTATTTTCATTTCCTTTGGGTATTTACCTAGAATT